GTAGAGATTTGATTTTCTGAAGCGAAAAAGGCTACACGAAAGTAATTGTTTACTTCAACACGCCACACATCCTCAAACAAGCAAGATATTAAGCTTGAGAGCATCGAGAACTGTTCTACTGGAGATCAGCCTGAATGAGCAGACACATAGACAAGCAGCAGCTGCTTAAGTATGTCATTTTGCCGGAGGGTGAGATATCACACATCCAGCTGCTAAACTTTCGGAAGAACATTTAAAATCCTGAACATTACAACTTTCTTCTTCAGCGATTCAACAACTAAAATCAAATTTGTCCAACGGCTCATCTCGTTCGGATGCTGACACTTGTGCTCAATGCAAAGACCAGAAGACATTTATTTCATGAATACCAGATCACTTTGACATTTCAGTAGTTCACAGGGGACAAATGCGGCAATCCGGAAGGGGCAGTTCATTGTATCAGGTTTCATTCAGTTCACGTGTTTGGATGAGTTCTAGACATATTTCGAATCGGCTCTAGTCTGCGCCACTCGATTATCCAATTTTCTTCATTTTGGTGGTGGTGCGGCAGCTCCTCCAGCAGCTGCTGCAGCTCCGCCAGCTGCTGGAGCCGGAGTGGTACCTCCTGCAGCAGCAGCAGGAGCTGCACCTCCCGCAGCAGCCGGAGCCGCTCCACCTGCGGCAGCAGGAGCAGCACCTCCTGCTGCTGGAGTAGCCGGAGCAGCACCTCCAGCTGCTGGAGTAGCCGGAGCAGCTCCACCTGCGGCGGCTGGTGCCGTACCCGCTGCAGGTGCTGTCGGTGGTGCTGGCGTTCCGTCTGCTTTCTCGAAATACACCACAATGCGATGAACTCCTTCAGCCTTCGATTCTGGAGTCCAGACTTGTCGAGCAGTTTTCACTTTCTAAACATATTAGCATATGTTATATACTAGATTTGCAAAGTATTTCTGAAATAACTCGGTTTTTCAGAAACAGCGTACAGAAATACCACTGACATTGCGCACCAGGCCGTCTCGTACGATGATGCGACTAGTTCGTGCTGTAATGAGATTACCAGGACGAAGCCAGGCGTAGATGCCAGAGTTTTATGCACGGGGGTTCACAAATAAGCAACAGATATTTTCATAAAAGCACAGCTGCACATTTAGTCTGAACCGCTAGTTAATGCTCCTACTGGAACTTCTACCTGCTCGTACACGAACTCTGGACTTGTGCGTAAGATGAATTTCAAATATTTCTTTTGAGTGTCCTAATATCTCCAGAAAATTTCAGCTTCCCAACTCAGCTAGTTCTCAAAAGCGCTTTTTTCCCAAAAATGATTTGATATGCTCTACGCTTTAATACAGGTATGCGCAAATGCGCCATTTCACGTGTGTGGGCTTATACATATATGGCAAATTCACGTATAATTAGAGGGATCCACTCAGCTTAGTTCTCGGATTGGCACTTTGCCAGCTATTGCGAAGTCACAAATTTGACGTGCCCATAAGCACTGCACATGCATGCATTCGAGCTGAGCTTAAAATCTTCAGCTTAAATAAGGCTTAAGTTTCAGCTTAAGCCATATTTAAGGCTCTTTAAAGTTTCAGCTTCTTACCTCGCCTGGTTCCCGAAATCGCCTTCCCGCCAGAAAATTTGTATAAATTTTAAAGAGTTCGTGCATGAAAACCAGGAGTAGGAGAACGATAAAATCAGAGATGGAGCATCACGCATATAGTAGGAACATGCTCCAGAAATTTCAGCTTCCCAGCTACTGAGTTGAAAGTAGATGACAGAAGTACGAACCCACGTATATATGCATAAAAGCGCAACACCAAACTGCGTATGGATATTCATGTACGAAAAGTAACAAAATAAGAATCTTAGGTGTTGGACAGATGTCCGCCATGGAATGGCTTGCACCTCTCAAAATGTAACCGCAATTGTATGCCACGAGCAAGAAATGAACTCAGGACCCACTTTCTTCAGTGAAAGTGATTTCCTTACTGGGTGTAAATCAGGACGAAGGACTGAACATACTGTACTGCGGAAAGATTGTAAAACGATTTTGTTCGGCTCGAAAGAAATACAGAATGTTAATGGATTCTGACTTGCTGCCAAAGAAACTTGCATTCAAAAATCATTTTCTGGCAGTTTCGCTCGTCGTAAGCCGATTTACTGTTTCTTAGGCTGGAACCTCAGTTCATTTAGCATGTGTTTCAACTACGTCTAGTGAGGACAACAAAATTACAGCGTTTTATATTTGGTTCTGCCTCTTTTCTTCCGTGATATCCTCATACTAAGAAATAAACAATTTCGATGCAAAAGATGAACGAGGATGGATAAGGAGAGGTGCGTTGCAAGATACTGCATTGTCAGGAGGAACGAACAAGATGATGACGCAACAATGATGACGAAGCCGAACGGAATACTAGCTGATAGTTCCTGTTTTTCTAACGATGCCGAACGGAACTGGGCCATGTTTGCGCCAAATATAATTTGAAAAGACGAAATTGACTACATCTTGCCGGAAACTCGACACTATTTCAAGGGCCTCTCCGTAACTCACTCCTTCAGTACGGAATGCGATCACAACATGTTGTGTTTAAGAATGCATCTTATATGATCTGAAGAAAGTAAGGTACATACAATTACGAGAATACTGTCAAAGAGAGAAAAATAAAGGTCAGCAATTAACATTTTATTATTAGCGAATAATGTAGTTCTGTTTTGCAAGCAGCCAACGCAAAATAAATGAGATTCTGCAGGGCTTTATATAAGAAAATTAATGCGAAAAAAAATTTAATGCAAGACGTAAATTGCTTGTAGTCGGAATAAAAATGACGCTGAATCGGAAGAAGTAAAAATAACTCCTATTTTGACGAGCAGATAATTATGAACCAGGATTTCAAGGCAAAGATTGTATGTAGAATTTATTTATTATCGCTAGGTTTGGTACTGCCACTTCTGAGTCTGAAAGCATTCCAGCAACACCGTCTTCGTACCATCTGTTCAAACAGTCTTGGCAATTTTAGCAGAGGTTAGTTGAGAGTTTTGCATACGGAGTTAAATGAAGGATGAATGCTTGAAAAAGTGCAATTCTCACTAGAAATCTGAGAAAAGCCATCACATATGCAAATAAATTTTTAAGACTCTTATGAATTGGGACATTGTTTGAATTTAGTAACAAGCGGTGCAATTATCTACGTTCTAGTTTTCATTGCGAAAAGTACACTTGAAATAAATAGGATGTTATAATAACTTGCAGGAAAAGCAAAGAAGCGAGTGTAAAATCGACGCGTTAGGAAGAACAGTAATGCAGAGCTTTCTCGCTTTAACTGTCAAATTTCTGTCTTGAAAGATAGCTTTGTCGCTTCAACTTTCTCGCTTAGAGAATCAATCAAGTAAATACGTGGAAAGTGATCGATGACAAAAACGGAAGAATTAATAGCAACAGAGCAGACGATGGGAAAGACACTGTTTTTAGTAATTCTTTGTCATAAAGGCAAATGTGCGCTCAAACAACTTGCAGAGCATCCTGCGATAATAAGTAAAGCTTTTTGCATGACAAGTGTCGCTTGCTTGGGTAAATGTCATTTATCAGGAAAGCTGAGCAGCCCTCAAAGAGTACTGTGCGTTTGTCCTAGAAATTAAGTTAGAGATTTCAGTTAAACTTGAACTCCGCACAGATTGCCAACCATCTCGGTGATCACAGCGCAGAATTGTTTCTTTTTCTTCAGTATGCGTTTATTAAAATTTGATTTTTGAATAAAAAGTTATTTTCATGGCTCAGTGCCAGACAACGCTGTTTCAGTGCTAAAAGTCGAGATTTCAGTCAATTACGGATCATCAAGTTGTGATTCGTTGGTTCCTTTATTAACGACATGATACTGGCACGGAAAAGCACGACTTCCATCAGATTGCTTCTATGCAACTTTATAAGGTGAGAACCACTGGCAAATCTGCACTGAGTAATTTGTTGCTGCTTTCGGGGATACTTCTGAGTGCCTTTCCCTCAAAGTGATTAAGAGGGCGGGAGAAGGAAAAGGGACGAGGAGAGGAGGGGCTTACAGAAGAAGTTCAATTTTTGATAGTCATCACCAATAAATGAAAAAAATATGCTTTTAATTAAAATCATGCTTAATTAAGTTCGCTGCATTAAAAAAAAACTTCCAGAAAAACATTTTGTCTTAAAGTACTGTTGAGAGGGAAACAATTATTCGGTAAAAAAACTGCTGGCTGGGTAATCTTCGGCAAAAAAGTAAAAGGAAGCAAAAAAAGATGGTGCATGAACCTCATCGCTTTTCATATGATAGAATGCAAAATAGTGTCTTCCGCTATCCGGGACCGTTTTACTTGAGAATGTAATTTTGATTGTAGTCGAAGATTCGGCATCGCAGAAACCCAGTGGTGGCCGCACTCGGAATATATCATTTGAAGTGCATTTTACCTGCAAGCTACCGCATAAGCTTCGCTTTTTATTGGAAAAAACAATATCAGGTGGTGATCTTTGCTTCAGCGTCGCCCCCATCTGACTTAGCGCCCAGAAGAGCAGCGTCACGTGGAAACGGAACCTTGAATGTCTGTCGATCCTTAGTTGGGTTTGTCAATTTGACGTCGATTGTGCACGGCTCTTCAGTCAATTTATCGCTCTTGAATTCGAGTTTTGCTGATGGCTCCAGTTTCATCTGGAATACTGGCTCGCCGGGTCTGTTGGGAGGTATCGGTGGTGGCACGGCGCCTCCTGCTGCGCCCGCTGCAGCAGCACCACCAGCTGGAGGTGCGCCAGCCGGTGGTGGATGTGCAGCACCACCAGCTGGCGGTGCTGCTCCGGCTGCTGCAGGTGCTGCTCCTGCTGCTGCAGGTGCTGCACCTGCTGCAGCCGGGGCGCCTGCGCCAGCCGGGGCGCCTGCCGGGGCTCCTGCTCCTGCCGGGGCGGCTGCGGCACCGCCAGTTGCTGCACCTGCTGCAGGTGCTGCGGCAGCCATCGTCGATTTGTTCGCAGTCTGCAAACCAGTAGTTTTGTGAGCATTTTTTTGCCAGTTCAAGTCCTCAAAAAAAAAAAAAAAAATTTCCAAATTAAAAGTGAACCGTGAAACTGAAAAACTCTCTGCTTTGGCTATTTTAAATTAGCTATTAATCGCTAAAAAGGACTCACACTCAGCACGATATTTCAACAGTCTCCAGAGCCAATCGATGCTGCTCTGGTCACTAAACTAGTATCAGATTCGCCAACAGACTGTCACCAGAGAAGGCAGCACTGGCCAGAGCTAATTTGACGGCTGCTAGCTGCATAAAAGGAGAGCCAGACCATGAATTATACCTAATCCAAGCGTTGAAAGTAAAAAAAACTGAAGCGGCCCTCCACCCTTTTTTATGGAAGGAAGAATTTCTCAGCACTCCGTGCGCAATTTAAACAGTGAGCGCGAACGCACCGGACTTTGTTAGTAAGAAGAGCAGCTAGCACCTAAACCGATGAAAAGCTTACAATGATAATGTGCTAAACATTTTAAACCCTTTAATACAGATGCTTCAGTTTTGTTTTTTATTCAAATTCAAGCAAACAATGATGCATTTAAGCGGTGCAGTTAAAGCCTTATGATTTATTCCTCGATCCCATCGCAGCTGAGATGGGACCGAGGAATAAATCATAAAGCTGCCTTAGAATGTGATCGAGATTGTCACACTGCGCTATAGTTGACATGGGAAACCGAGTCAGTGGAAGACACCTCTACCCGATTTGTGCTGAGCCAGACTTTTCATTTCTGAATAGCCGCCTCCAATGCTTAATTGGTATTTTTCGCAAATTTTTGAAAATTTTGAAAACAGATGATAAGCTGAAACCAACGAGAGTGTATAGTTTGTAAGAAACCACACTCTCGTTCAGGCCCCTGCAGTCTCGCTACGAGAACGGTTAATTAAAATTAAGTTTTTAATAAAGTATCTGGTAGAGATTCTAACATGCCTGTGTGTGCCCACCTGCTTCCCTTCCCCTTCCTCTCCTCTGCCTCCCATGGACGATCCTACTTCACTGTTTACGCGATCTCTATTCATTTATGTTCACACTTCATAAAATACCGGTTTCCGATCCATCCATTTAGCGCAATATAAAATCGATTTGCTTAACCATAATTGGTCAGACTATGCACATATCTGCTTGCCGATAGTTCCTAATTTTCCATTTGTTCAATTAACTGAAAGGAAATGGTATTTCTTATTTGCGTTTTTATGCTTGAATATATGCGTAATATGTGCATTTGCACGGGCTAGTAGGTAGTATGTCTGTGTGTTTGTATATACGTTTCTGAAAATTCAAGAA